AGTCCACGTCTCCCCGCCAATTCCGGATGCGGCGGTTTGTTGGGCGTCTTCGAAGAATCGAAAAGAATCCTTAGGGACAAGCTGTTCATGAAGCAACATAACATCATCGATCCCGCTGGGGGGTCACAGCGGCTGCGTACGGAATGCCAGCCCGCAAGCGCCGTTTGCTGTTGTATCGCCTCCTGGGCGGCCATTTCGCGACCCTCCCAGGACCTTACCGAAACCATGGCAGCAGCCCCCGAGGACCCTCTCAGGACCCTGCCGCTAGGAACATTTTTCGTAAGGCGGAGCAGCCCTAGGGAACTTCCCCATTGTCCCCGCTCTTGCTGCCGCACACCTCTAGCGATGCCGCCCCCCCCCCTCCCGGCTCGCCCGAGCCCGCGCGCGGGCTGCCTCTGCCCCACCTGCGACGCGAGACGCTGCTCCTCCCCGGGTGGTTTTGTGCACGGCCCCGCGGGGCCCCGCGACGGCCCCCCCCCCACGCGATGCCGAGAAAAGGCGGGGCCCCCGAGCCCTCCGCCGCGCTCTCGTCGTGCGGGCGGCGCGGCCGTCGCGCGTCAGTCGGGGCCCGCCGCGCGCCGCCGAGGCGCTGCGCGCGGGGCTGGCCTCGTGGCCGCTCTTCGGGCTGGAGGCGCAGCTGACGACCAGCTGGCAGGGCGGCCAGCGGGCCGCGCCGCTGCCCACCGAGCCCTGGCGCTCGGCGCCCTGCGCGCAGACGGCCCCCGCGAGGATCTCGCCGCTCCTCGCGGCCATGGCCGCCGGGGGCGCGGGCATCACGTCCATGACCGTCGCCCGGGGGCTGCGGCAGGGCTCCCTGCTGGTGGGCCGGGGGTACACCCCGGTCGTTGAAAGTAGGTATTTCTGGAGCCCCAGATCCCAATCTACTTCAAGCGCCTTCCTATTTCAAGAATCGACATGCTTTTGCTGTGCTGTGTTATCTTCTGGGAGGACCTGGACCCAATCTACTATATCCGCCTTCCTACTTCATGTTTCTACCTACTTCTTCCGACCGACGTGTAGTGATGCGGGACGGTGCCAGCGCGTCGCGGACAAGTCGCAGCGGCCTTGTTGCCGCCTGCGGCCTCCGGGGGGTCCTCTCGCAGGACCCCGGGACCGTCAACAGAAAGCGGCTTGGGATGCGAAGCCGGCTTCGGGGAAAGGGGGCCGTCTGGGGGCCCCGCACGAACAACATCAGGACGTCGCAGGTCTGAAAAAAGAATGGGGCAGTCGAGCCAACCGTTTCCAGTGGCCGAATGATAGATCTGCTTTCCTGGATGCGGAGGCGAATGTGCTAGATATGCTCAAGGCCCACGCCGACGGCGTACTCGCCAGCTTTCAATCGAAGATTGCCAATTGAGGCTGCGACTATGCTAGTTTTGGCAGTGCAGGCTTGCCGCAGGGGGGGGGCCCATGATGAACACCACCGCGGCGCCCGGTCGGGGCCCTGCGGGGCCCACGGGGGCGTGTGGTGCAGAAGGCCTTCGCGGCGCCGTGGTCAGAGGGGGCGTGCGCTCGGCGCCCAGGCCGAAGGCCCCAGCCAGGCGCGGTGGTGGTGGTGCACAGCGTCGTCGTCGTCGTCGTCGTCGTCGTCGTCGTCGTCGTCACCCTGCGACACCAAGGGTGCACAGAGCCCCTCCAGCGTCCGCAGGCCCTGGAGAGTCCCCCATTCGGGGCCCGAAGGCGCTGGGGGGCCCGCGGGGGCCCAGGGACTGCCCATCATGCCTCCCCGGAGAGGTCCCGAGCGCTGCCCCAGGCTCCCCCAGGAGGCTCCAGAGGCCCCCAGGATGCCTCAAAGCACCCATCCTTTGTCCACGAGGGAAGGTACACACACAGACACAAAGGATCGCCGATTCCAGAGGCAAACACAGGAAAATTTAAAAAATGGAGAGAACTCCTGGAATGTATGTCTGTTTATTTGTGTGTGCCTGGGCCCCTTCGTATGTGTGCGCTCTGGACGCGCACCCCGCTGAGCGCGACGAGTCCCCGAGAGGGTGATCTCCAATGGAGCAGTCCGAGAGGCCCCGTGCTGCTCCGGGGAGCGGCGCGAGAAGCCCGACGCAAGGCTGCCCTCCTCGTTCCCTCCCGCGCTCCTCGTGCCCCCTCCTCCTCGCTCCTGCTTTCCGTCTCCTCGTCCTCTTCCCTTTTTTCAGTACCTCTTCGGGGGGGCCCGACAGGGCCTCCAGAATCAGGCGAACGGGCAACACTGGAACCAACACGGGGCGGTCTGCTGGCATACCCCCGCCTTACCGGGCTCTTTCTCGCAAGTCGCGCCCACCTGTGCTGCAAGGTCGTGCCCGAGAGGTCCTCAAGACGGCGTCCTTCCTCCTGCCTCTCCCCTCCTACATACTCTCGCTTTACGGTGCTCTCTTTCCCTCCTCCTCCTCCTCCTCCTCCTCCTCCTTCTGCTCCTCCTCATCTTGCTCATGCTCTGCAAATGGACAAGACGGGAACCAACGTAGTGCACCTTGCTCGCGTTCTCCTCACTCTTTTCTTTCTCGCG